CATGTTCTTTTACGAAATTTTATTTTCTTTGATTGTACGTCTTTCATTATAAAGGCGCACGCCATTGCTAAGGGTCCTACATTCATAACTCTATTGACTTTAAGGACAAAACTAAGGATTAATATCTGCGTGTGTTATCAAATCCAGCGTATATTATTGCTTGCGGATATTATGTTGTCATATACGTTCATGTGCACCCAGCCTAAGCTTTGATGCAGTTGGGATGTTTACATATAAGAAATTCTGCATAAAATGTTATAAAAACAAAAAATATTTATAAAATAATGTCAATACATAAATATTATAATAGAATCCATAAGTGAAAAATTGGGGCAAGTCTAAAATAATCAATTTCGGAAAGGAAAGAAGGCAAGACAACGTCTATAAAGTTCTAGTAGTTTATCTGCAAACACCCTACAACCAATTATATTAATTAATTAATTACCTTGGACTTACATCCCTTTTTCCCATTTAATGAATCATCAGTCTAAGAAAGCGACATATTATTCGCACATTTTTACTCATAAATATGAAATACTATGTATATTCTTATAAAGTAAGTAAGATTTAGATTTCTTCAACAGCAGCTATAATAGTTTCCCAGGAAGTGATATGATCCTAACCACATTTTTTGAAATCCTCAATTTCCTTTTCATTAATAGGACTGGTTCTGAATATGGCAACTTAGAGAATGTAAAACTTACGGAAACTTTAAGAGGTTTACATCATTTTCACTGCTAAAATCTCAAAATGACCACAAAACTTACCAACTTACCAAGTGACAACTGTAATCCGTTTAGTTGAGAATGGACAGCAATGTAGTTGAGGAGATCGTTGCAATAATACATATTCACGTGTCAAGAGTAGAAAGTGTATACTTTGCAGGTTTCAGAGCTACGTCGAAGGCTAAACATTGAAAAGAATGAGAGTCGTGTAAAAACATTATCCGTGTGTGATGCATATAATATTTTTTGTGCTACCGCTAATAATTTGACAATAACAGAACTACAACATAATAATTTATAGTCATAATTTTATATCAAAAGTGCAATTATTAAATGTTGATGTTCGGCTCATAACGTTTGTGTTAATAATATTGCGTTCTATTCTGGAAACTTCAGATCGGTTTTGTTTATTTTCTACATTAACTTCTGCCTCGGTAGAAAACTTCCATCCCTCGTGACGCTTCAATCTTGCTAAATTTCCACATCCATTTATCGGTAATGTGATTGAAGTCCTGCGCTGACTGTGACCGGTAAATTCTGTTGGATAAAATAATTTTATATATTTAGCTACCCTGCAAGAAACACTTCCTATAGAATGCATTCCAATAGGTCGAGTAATAAATTTACGGAATATTTTTTATACTTAATTCTAAGCAAATTATTTTTGTATTAGGAATTTTTAGTATTAGCATATCATTCTTATCTTCCTCATAGTCTACGGTATTTTCTTGCTAATTCATCATGGTGAGAACCACCAGAGCCAGAATTAAATTGTCAAAATTGCGACCACTAAAAATGATCGAAATAGCAAGATATTCATGAGCTATGCTCAAATTTTGTTTACTTCTTGTCTACTAAAAACTTTTTACTTCTTTGCTTTATATCTCATAGTTTTTGTCTTTGAAAAGGTATCAATTTTGAAAATTTTCTAATATGAATATTCTTGTTGGGTATTAAACATTCTTTCAAGCATTAAATATAGACTTCATATTCTTGATGACTTAACATTAGTGTATTTTTTTCAACAAAATAGGCTCACAGAACATCTTCATTTAATATCATTACTATTTCCTTTTCGCTCCATTCTTCGATTTATATGTTTTTTCAAACCTTTTCCTGGAATTTATTGGTAATAATTCAGAAGCCGCTTTTTTAATATAGAATACTTTCTTCGTCAATTTCATCGCTATTCATCTTTAAACGACTTAAGAAAAAATATAAGCCTAAAAACGTTAAAAACTTCTGCTGATAGATAATTGTTAAATATAGCTACTTTGTAAGAGCTCCTAAGTTACTTTACTGAGATCTTATGTCACTTTACCACGCTTTCACCTACTTTCCGATCAATGTCAGTAACAAAGCACTTTGCGAGCTAAAATGTAATCGAAACCAGACAGCAGTACAAAAACTGATATTTCTGATTTTCAGTAATTTATTTATTTATTTAGAAGTTACAATATCCAATGGGACAAAGTCCCAATTATAGGATAAGGTAAAACAGAAAACCTTAACTAAATTTTAAAAGAAAAAGACAAACTAACATTAAATATAAAGATATAAATATTACATAACATAGAGCAATCAAAATATAAAATCCAGACAAAGAACTTAAGGATAAACAATAACAGACAAATAAAACAAATAAGCTAACTAACATATACAAGATAAGGATTACATTTACTAGACAAACAATTTTTTTATGTCATTCATACAATGAAAAAATATATCAAGTCGATCTTCATACTTCTGGTAATTGGAAATCATTTGATATAGGGGAGATGCTATTAGTAAGTTGGTACGAGGTGTGGGTAATTGTAAAACGGAGTGAAATCTAGAATTAAGTCTAGGAACATGATATAAAATCCTTGAGACTAACGAGTCTGCATTTAACGTGTTATTTATGATTTTAAAAAGGAATATAATTGAAAACATAATTCGCCTACGACAGAGACTATTAAAATTAAAACAAGAAAGCAATAAATCTTGAGGTGTACCACGAGGAGGATAAAATCCATAACTAATAAAATGAATAGTCTTTAAAAATCTCCGTTGTACTTTCTCTAAATGAATATTATAGATATTATAAATGGGACTCCAAACAACCGATGCATATTCAAGTTTGCAACGCACAAATGCTGCATACAATATATTTAGAATCTTTACGTTCTGAAAGTCCTTAGAATTACGCAAAATAAAGCCTAAATTCTTATAAGCAGATTTGGTTACTAAACTAATGTGGTCGTCAAACGATAATCTGGTATCGAAAGTAACACCAAGGTCAGTAAATTGCGTAACTCTATTTAAAAAAGATTCACCAATTTTATAATCAAAATCTAGATTAGTTTTGCGTCGACTGTAAGTCATAAATTTACATTTACTTACATTCAGAGGTAGATTATTACATGAACACCAATTGTGTAATCTGTCAAGATTATCTTGTAATGTAGTACAGTCAGTAGATGATTTAACTTCCAAGAATAACTTCAGGTCGTCCGCATAGAGTAAATAGTTGACATCGAGGCATTCAGTTAAGTCATTAATAAAAATAATAAATAACAGTGGTCCCAGAATTGACCCTTGCGGAACTCCTGAAGATTGATGGAATTTACATGATTGAAAGCCTCGATACTGCACAAATTGGTACCTATTACTAAAATAGGATTTAAACAGAGTTAATAGAGCAGGAGATATACCATAAGACTCCAATTTCAAAGTTAATAAATTGTGATCAAGCCGATCGAAAGCTTTAGAAAAGTCGGTATACACAACATCAACCTGACTTCCTGCATCCAAAGCTTCAGCAATAAATTGGGTTTTCTCAACTAGATTTGAGGTAGTTGAACGACCACTCATAAATCCATGTTGGTACGGAGATATAGATTTTTCAATATGAAAATAAAGTCGATTGTGTAAGATAATTTCTAGAATTTTTGAAAAGTTACTTATAATAGCTATGGGCCGATAATTAGTTATGTCGTTTTTAGTCCCTTTTTTATAAACGGGGCATATTCGCGACTCTTTCCATACTTGTGGATATTCTTTATACTTAATTATAGAATTAAATATGATTTTTAAAGGTTTTGCAAAAATTGTTTTACAGTCTTTTATTAAAAATGCAGGAATTAAATCAGGCCCCATTGTAAAATTACCCTTCATTCTCTTAATTGCATTTATTATGTCATCTTCGGTAACCTCAAAAACACAAAGAGTATTAGAGCCAACAGAGGGCAATGTGGGCGAACAACTATTAACATTGTGACTAGGTAAAAAAGAATCAGAAAAATAATTGGCAAAAGCATTGACAATATCAGAAGGATTATTTAATTCAATACTATTATAATTCATAAAAGATGGAATAGAGGTAGAATTAGATCTTGAATTAATATGGGACCAAAATCTTTTAGGATTAGAGGACAGATCATTAATTATTGAATTTTGATAATCTAAATGCTAAACTAATGCAAGATTTAACTCAGTTCTTATTTCTCTAAATCTGCTGTAATCGTCAATGTTATTTGTAGATTTATATTTACGCCAAAGTCTGGTTTTAATTTAATTTTATTAATAATTTTGCCGCTAAACCAAACCGGATAATGTCCATAAAATTCCTTTTTTAGAGGTACGTATTTGTGTAACAATAAATTCAGTATATTATAAAATTCGTTTAGCATATCATCTACACTTCTAACATTGGCTAGATATGACCAATCAGAATTAATAATTTCCTGGTATATATAATAAATTAAAATTACACTTTTTGTAATTTAAAATGTGCTTATTTTCAAGCGGAAACGCATTATCATTGGTAGATGGAAGTGTAGATGTGACTATGAGTGCAGGATGATGATCATCCTCATTCAAAAGTGGATCATCAGTTCTAGAAACAATTTGTTAAGTTACACAAACAGTTTCTGCACTCAATCGCCGAAAGTATGCCATTCTTGAAAATTCACACAAAATGATTATCACAATTCAGAAAATTAACTTTTGGAATTACACTCTTCATTAGAATTCTCTTAAATAACTTTAAATTGAGGAGGGACTTGTTACTAAAGGATTCATAATTAAGACATTTTATTACATTTGCATTGGAACTTATGAGACGTCTTATTTATGTCGCTAATTTAGCAGTACCAATAACAGCCAATAGTAGCGGTTACTCGCTGTAATGTAAATTCGCGATACGAAAATAAAAAATCAGGGAATACATGTTTAACATTTTATGAAGATTTTTTAAATGAAACAGCACTCACCACCTTTTTTTATTCATTTCAGGTGAGAGGCCATTCAAATGCGACGAGAAGGACTGTGGCAAAACATTCACGAGAAACGAGGAACTGACCCGCCATAAAAGAATTCACTCCGGCCTCCGTCCATTCCCCTGCACGCACTGTGGCAAGCGTTTTGGCCGCAAGGATCATCTAAAAAAACATTCGAGGACCCATTTTCAGCCCAGAGGATTGTACGCCGTGCCAGTCATGATGCCCTTCGACGCGTGGGCCGCATCGCCGAGCAGTTACCCCTTCGTGCCCATGTTCGGTTATTAAGCTAATTGTATTATCGCGATATCTGTTTTGTACAAGTTCGGCCTAATTTTGACATACTGTACATATGTAAATATTGTAAATACTCAAAGATTGTGATACAGAGTGCAAAATCTATTTATGTTGTGAAGTTCTTTTAAGACTGACCTTGAAATTTCAATAAATACTTCAATTTTGAATTTGTTTTAATTCATGAGATTCGTACATTATTTTCTGTAATTTATTTAATTGTAGGTATACATTTTTCCAAGGACAATATAAAAAATAAAAAATGTTCCATGAAACAAAAGATCTTCTAATCTATGTAAAACTGACTACTAAAATTTGCCAATGACCGTTCAAAAATATTTTCTTGAGAATACGGAAACAAGAAAATCATTGACATAATTTATAAACCATTGATTTACGAATTTTTTATTAAATGTTATTTTCTTAATTTAGTATTTTATAAACGTTGACAGTCTTTGCAGCAGCAAGCTTTAGTAAGCAGTAGTGAGCGTTAGTATATTCAGAATGTAAGAAAAATGTCAATTTTATATCGAAAATTCAGATAGTTATTTTTAGTTTTCCTTGAGCATAAGTCAATTGTTCAAAAAAGTGTTATTTTCTAATAAACTGGTAAAAAAACAAACAATTTTAACGTCACTGTCAGACCTGCATGAATTAAAATCTTTAATATGTAATGCCAGTCAGTATATCCATTGGGAATATGAACTGGTTGAAACTGCGTAATATATTGAGTCCAGAAGGTTCCCTTCGCAAGAAATCAATCTAAAGATGTTTTCATTTAACTCATCACGAAGATAACGTGTATGCTCCTGCAAAAAGTATCCATAACTCTTTTTTTCTTAGATCAGAAAAATCTAAAGAATTCATTCATAACAGCTGGTAAAATAGTATTTCCTGACCACTATAATATTTCAACCTAAGTAGGCAAAATATAAATGGTTTGAACAACATTGAATTCGGACAAAGAAATTTCAGATAAAATAGTGGCATACATGAAATGAAAGGAAAGCGGAGAAATTTTGACTGTTATTAATGCTCAAGAACAACGATACTCTATTGTGGTCCTACTCTATTCTGTTTAACTACTACATCAACTACTTTTTAGTCGACTGTTTTCATAGGACTCAAGAATACAGTATACGTCCTCTTTGACTGAAATGTTAAATGAAAGTAACTAAATGCATATAGATATTATAGATATCTTGCGTGAAAAATCTCATACACTGTAAAAAAGTTTCACTCAATTTTACTCATTTTCTGTCCACACCTGATTGAGTGAAATTTTCACTCTAATAGTATGAGTACAAATGAGTGAAACTATTGCATCAGAACTGAGTGAGTTTTACTTAAATCCGAGTTACTGCTAGCCATCAATTGAGCGACTTTTCACTCTATTCTGTGTATATAAAACCCATCTAGAGTTGACTTTTTCTCTTATATGATTTAAATTTAATTATTATAGTCATTTTTTACTCAGACTTGGTTTTTAATTAACTAAATATTAAGTGCAAAAATAAATCAGTCATAAATGATTAATTAGGATATACAGTGTTGAAATTAATTAATTTCGCGAGGGCTGAGTCCCGCCGCCGCCGGCTAAGGCCTGTTCTCCTGGCGATCACGCTTTTCTGGAGCATCTAACGTGCCCCTATCAACTGTGGTCGAGATTACAGAAGCAATATGTAAGTGGTGCCATCTTCACGGCGCCATTCAAATTACTATACATTTAAACTCACTCAGTTATGAGGACATTTATTCTGATTTAGGTACAAGTGCATTAAATTTATTTAAGGACTACCTATATTAGAGTAAGTACTCAATTTTAGTTTAAATATAATCACAAATGAGTAAAATGCCCAATATTGAGTGAAAGTGTACTCAATAATTTTACTCAATGGATTCACTCCAAACATTTATTGCTTTTATTCACACCGATTTTTTACAGTGCTCTATGCAAGGAAAGAGTTAGATCGGGGTACATAAACAGAAAATCCTAATGCGATTAGATAATAAGCAGTTTTACCGAATTGCTGCGAATGTACAAATGGCAGACGTACTGTTGTTGCTGCTGTTCTACTGTCTTTCATATGCAAAGTATATCTATCCGAAATTGTTAGACTGATTCAGTTAAATCTTAATGAATATACTATAATTATTAGTGATAATGGTAACTATAGATTAGTAGGTCACTCTCTGTCAGTACGCATAAGGCAATGTTTTATGGCAACTGATACTGTGTAGTATTAACAAATAAAATATTTGACACACTTAAAAGTTAAAAGTATGAGAAATATTTAAAGCAATTTAATATCATTTGCGTTTGTGAAATCAAACATATTATTTTCTTAATTTACTATTTTATAAACGTTGACACTAGCCCTTTTGAAAACTACACGATGTAATACGTGCTGTTGATAATTCAGTTCTCGAAATTAAAAAAAATGATTTGAAGTCATTTCTATAAATATATAAAACGTTGGAGCCTGAGGTGTTTGCATTTTCTTTGCAGAAGTAAGAAAATGATGTAGATCTAACGTTAATATATTCAGAATGAAAGAAAAATGTCAATCTTACATCGAAAATTCATAGTTATTTTGAACCATATATGAAACGTTATTCTAAAGGGCTGGTCATTTCGGGATTACAATGCAGAAATCACAGTTGATAAGAAAATAAGGAGCTATTTTTGAGACAAAAAAAAGGTAAATAAGCCAATGTATAATTCAAATTTACTCTACCCATTTAATTGGTGTTCAAAATGAACTTAAAACATAAACTTTGTTTCGAAAACCGAGGCAGTATCATTGTCCAATATTTATAAGATATATTTTCCAGTTTTCGTTTCAATAAATGGATCAGGAAATTGGTCAAGTCATATTGGTATTCGCTAACTTCAACCCCATCCCATTCTGTGGTTATTGTGCGTTGTCTTTGTCTATTCCCATCGTCTCCATTAAGTCATCTCGACGTGTGGTGTATGGCGTATAGTGCTGGAGAAGTACCCGTCAAGCCAGTTATTTTGGTGAAAATTATGTTTAAATGCAATGGTTTTATTACAATAATTTAACACATTGGGACATATTGAGTCTCGATTAATATTTGTTTAAATAAACGGAAAGTTAAATTGTTACCTATACTTTCTTACGTACCTGTAACGTGCAATATATGTTATGCCAATCTATTCGTCTGATCAGTTAACCAATTCCTTTAATCGAGACCTAAAATATTGTCTCTAAAACAGATCTGGGTAGAACTATGGCAGTTTATTAGTCGATGACTTTAATACAATGATATTTAAATTTAAATATAAAGAGAAGTGGTGCAAAACCATCAAGATATTATTGAAATGGAAGCAGGGGCGGCTGGTACGGGGGGACTCTGGAGCGCCGCCCCCCGGGGGAATTTTTGTAGTACAAACTTACTCAATAATAGTTAAATTTAAATCATATTAGAGAAAAAGTTAACTCTTAATTGGTTTTACATACTCAAAAGTCACTCACTTGAAACTCGCAGAAACTCGGTTTTGAGTAAAATTCACTCACTTTTGTTGCAATAATTTCACTCATAAAATTTTAGATGTACTCATACTAGTAGAATGAAAATTTCAGTCAATCGGGCGCGTGGGCAGAAATTCATACATTATTGAGTAAAATTGAGTGAATTTGAGTGAAATTTTTTTACAGTGCACTATTGACTTTTAAAATAATATTAGTCTTAAATTTGGCCAATAAATTGGGCAACTTATTGCAACATATATAAAAATGTCACAAACATAACAAATTGCGACTATTTCTTGAATTATTTATTTGATCAAAAAGATAAATATAAAACCCGTTTTGCACTTGCATTATTGATGAAATTATTTCAATGACAGAAGCTCAATGTACGTAACACAATCCAAACTTTTATTCGTCTTTGACAATATCTCCTTAAAATCCATTTAGTACGTTTCACAAGTGGTGCGACACATATATTTCAAACGCCTTCGTGACAACCTCATTGAGCTGGTAGTAATAAACATTATTTCAAATCGCGATGTGCTACATTGTTACTAACGGTCACTTCGAAACCGAGAATGGTCCAGCAGTAGAAATAATCATTACGTCACAGCTGGACGCAGGGGTGTTGACAATAATCGAAACAGCAACTTCCGTATCGCAGTTAAATTGTCAAAACATCCTAGTGATCCTCGCCGCAGGAGGTCTTCACCTATTCAAAGGACAAATCGGACGGCTTTGAATTCGCCCGGTGGAAAGAAAGAGACGGGAGGCTAAGAGAGGATCTTGAATAAAAACGAAATAAAGTAATTTGTAAGTATTGAATGAGGCTGCTGGAAAAGTTTATGTAGAAATGAATTGTTGAAGTTTAGATAGCAGAGTGAGGGTATTTATTATACAATTTTTGAATAGGCATTCCTCTACGTGCATTAAGTGGAATTTGCTGACAGAGGAAGTATAAAATGGGAAATTATGTTTGGGAACATTAATAGCACCCCTTAAGAAAATTTAGTTAAGTCCCGTTTTGGCCACTGCGTTAATTAAGAAAATGTATTTTTAACGTACTCAACCGTGTTATAGAATAGACTGGAATACGGATATTATAAAATACTCGTACAATGTCTAAAAGCAGTAAAAAGTTACTTTCTTCTCTCTGCTGAAAACAATCACATCTTCAAAGCGATTGTGAGATTTAACAAAACCCAGTCTTGTTACACTTTTAAAGTTTATACTTTCCCTATAAACATACAGGGTGATTGAGAACTTATCCAAAAAAGAAATATTGGATGTACAGGAAACTCTTACGAATACAATTTTGTAAAGAAAAAATCAAAAAGGGCAATTCGAAAATGATTTAAAAATACACTTCTGCACGGCACTGGAAACTGGTGTAATGTAAAACCTCGCACAATGCGACCAGCATGGCGGAAAAGTTGATAAAAACGGACAAAAACAATGAAAGAAATGAATAGATTTTATAGCATCTATTTGTTATTATTAATTAATAAAATTAATTTGTGGTTTTAAATAATAAAATAATTTAACATATCTGATGTTACAACAACTGTTCAAAATTTTGTCCACCGACGCACTACGGGTCAAACGGCATTTTTTATGTTAAAATCAAAT